GTAGTAGTAGTAGTAGTAGTAGTAGTAGTAGTATTTTATAACATTCAATATGATTTTTGGACTATGCATCTTTTATACCTACCAAATGTTTAACCTTATTTAGAAATATTTTCCTATAAAATAAAGACTTTTTATTTCCCCTGAACCATTTTTTTAAAATATGCTTAGCTTTAGCAAAGTTTATGTTGACAAAGCAAACATTTCATAAAATTGTTTAGTAAATATTCCATTCCATTTCACTTCTCTTCTCATAACCATAAATATTTATAAGTAAGACTGTTTAGTAATTGTTGAGTTAACTTGTGAAAACAAATAATTTAACTAATTAACAAAGTCCTCAAAGTTTGAGTTTATATTTTAATGTGATTTAATATCTATAGAAATACGAGAGTTGGATTAATTAAAAAAAAAAAAACGTTTTTCCACATGGATTAGATTAAACCAACGTGTTAGCGGCCTGTTTTATTTAATTTTATTTTGAAATTCCACGGGAACTTTTATCTTTGTTTCTGTTGACTTGACCTTCTTGATTTCGCAGCCGGCTGCACGCTGAACTGTCCGAGTATTAAAATACTGTCTGAATATTAAAATACTGTCTTATTAAAATGTAAAAGTATAACTCATTAAACCTGTCTCTGTGGCTTTTCATAATGCCTTATTTTAAATATCCTTCCCTGCTGAGGGAGAACAGTTTTGTGCCTGCTGGCTGGTCCACCATGTTTCTGATCAGCATGTTAAATAGATAAATCAAAGATTATAAATAGATGTTCTGAACAGCATACATCGATTATTGTCTTGCAATTTTTTATATATGTCTTAATCAAAATAATGTACTTTGACTCAAACAGTGGAAACTTTTTTTCTTTTAGATTTGCGCTAGCCTTCATTAAGGTGACACTGCCCTCTGCTGGTTTGATGGCAGCAATGTTTCCAATATCCTTTGACAATTTATTTTTATTTATTCATTATTTAGGACTAAACGTTTGTAACTCTCGTTGTATTATTTTCAGGTAACATTGCTCTGTTCAATGAAGTTTGAGAACAAACATGTTCACAGGGCAGGGGATCGAACCCGCGACCTTCAAATTGATAAACAACCTGAGGAAGTGTCAAAGTCCAAAATATGACACAGAGCACGAGTTTGAAACATCTTTTACAGATTGTAAAAACACGTAGAACAAGTAGAGGTTGTTGTTGTTGTTGTTGTTGTTTTGAACTTGATATTTAGGGGTCCAAGCCCGA